GGACAAAAGAGCATTCTGTAATTAAACTGCATCAGTGGGTTGCTTATGAATAGGCTTCATCCTAAAATAACATTTAAGCAGCAAAATTAAATGATTAAATGACATTCTCCTAAAATTGGTACTGGTCATTATACAAAGGTAAGTCTAAATTCTAGAGAATCCCAATTTACTCCAAAGACCAATGCTGGTATCTTAACCAAACTGGGGTCTTCTGGTTTGTTGCTCCCCAATAAACTAAGAACTCTGGGTCAGGCGATGCCCTGAGATTTAACCTCCTGATTAGATGAGTTGCTCTTGCTGTTTGCGAGGCTGTCCCCCTTGTTTCATGTGTACTGGATACTAATGAACATTTTTAGAGAGAACTGCAGGTTCCAATGATGCTCAAAATGCAAGGTATGTGCTATAATGAATTCCTTGTGGATGAGAATTATTTCGTATGTTAATTTTGTTTTGGGAGTCACTGGTTTTTGTAGATGATTGTCTACTTTTAAATTAATAGGTGGATAATAGTAATGGCTATCGCAAGCTGTCATGGTGTACATAACGTGATTGATACAACATGGCTCGAGGGATATTCATTCTGTCATTCATACATACAATGGTCTGAAGATCTTATTTCTCTTTCTTTATCTGAGTATTTTCCACTGACTGAAAGGAATACTTAAGAAATTTGGACCGCATAAACTACTTCATCTGCTTAATTTTCCTTTCTTTTATAACATGAGCTAACTTAGCTTTTGACTGTATCACATGAACAGTGTAAATATCTAGGTTTAGCTTGAATGTACTTGATATGTATGTGTTTGTGGGGTTTCCTTCTTTTTCAAATTAACAGTAAAATATAATAAAACACATCCTTTAGAGCTCTGGAAATCTGTTTAGAAATAATCCCCACTGATCTCATTGCTGGAAATCAGTCAAGTACAATTAAAGTGCTCACTAAAATGAGAAAACCCTAAAAACACGAGAAATATTTTTTGTTAAAAACAAGGAAGAGAGACTAGACATGGTCTAGGAGAAGACAGTCAAGGTCAGGAGCTGATGCTTACATTTTGACTCCCATCAAAGCTTTCCTGGGAGTCTGCCACTACATTTTCTAGCTTTTACAGTCAACCCTAACCCACATATTTCCCTACAGATTCCTATTCTCCCCCCTCCCCAAAATGAGGATAAACACAAAATGAAAACAAAACAGATAAAGCTCCATATGGACAGGAAATGAAGGAATTGTCTGACTAGGCTGCCTGACTATTTGTCAGTTTAAATGACAGATTATTCCACGTGATTATTACAAGTTAATATAATAAGGATTATGGAAGACTTAATATAGAGGTATAAATGAAGTACAGATACAAAGGTATGGCATCAGTTTTGAAGTCTGCTAATGAAATGACACTGTCAAGGTTTGGTACCCAAATTACCTTTCAAATCTCCTCCTTTTTGTGGTATTTCTTCTCTGACTACCCTCTTTCCCACACTGAAAACCAGCTCTGTAAAGAGCATCTGCTTACAGATACAACAATGGTTCAAGCTTCTGTTTTGAAAGTGCACTTCTGAGTAAACACACCCAGGGTAGCAGATCAAGTTGGCCTCAACCTCTTATGCTGTATCTCAAGCAAACAGAAGCATGTGATAACACATGTTAAAACACATGCCCTTCTGCACTGGTTCTGATAAGTTTTTACATATTAATAAACATCCGGTACACACATTCATTCTTAACTTTCTTCTTGGTTCTTTAGGAATAGAAATCCAGGGTTCAGCAAAATGGGAAGGGACTAGCCTTAAAATGGTGTGCAATATACCTATACTGTAATCCTCTAAAATCTTAAGCCCAGTCTAAAGCAATGGTTCTCAGACTCTTCCCTTCTCTGGACTTCTAAATCCTAGTGTATCATATAAGCAAATTTATTTAAACATTTTACAATGAATTAGCTGGTTCATACTGGCATCCTGAAATATGCCCTCAGAATTTAGAGAAATTCCTTCAAGTGGAGCTTGACCCTTGGTGATTTCATGGACAAATCAATACTGTTTTCCAATCAACAACATGGAAATGGGTTACCACTGTCTTTCTTCTGAATGTCTTTTTTCCCGTTTACAATTCTAGTTTACAATGATGGGATTTCTTGGGAATCTCCCATTCAAGTATACACACACAGTTCTGGTCCTCTTCTGCTTTGCTGAGATCAGCCAAGGTCAACTTTGTGTTGCTTCCCAGCTGGGCTGAACTTAATCACATTGTGAATTAAAAAAAAAAAATACACGTAACACATGATCCAACAGAGGTACATAAAGTATTATTATAGTATCTCTCTTCTCCTCCATGGCCGTAGCCTTCAGAACACACCAAGTCCAAAGAACAGATTTCTCAGATTAAGATCAAAGTAGTTGTCAATGTTTTGTTTGAAGAATCCTCTAATTTCAAAAATAGAAAGTCTGCAATAAGGTCAGTGATTCTTTCAAGGAGTCAGCGCTCAAAAAAAGCCATTTGTTCTTGAAAGAAGATAAACTTTTGAATTCCAAAAGTTTATCATTTGTTCAACACTGAAGTATAAATATGAAATACACAAAGCTCAAAATAGACTCTGCTTGTATAAAAACATTGAAAAGTAACAGGTACAAATTTCAACTGCTTGTTCCCTGTAATTGGGTTTGCATAACATATAAGCCATAGTTTTGGGAAATCCTGATTTATTGTGACTAAGCTAGGCTTGAGGACTCTGCTTCTTCCCCAGCCAGAAGAAACAGCTAAGGAAATAGCAGAAGCTGCAATGTATCATGACATGCAAACTTAGAGCTTTGTTTTTCCGAAACAAGCCAGGACAAAATCATGGCTTCTTAGGAATAAACTAGATGGGCAAAAGTTTTCTTTCTAGGCAGTATCATGGCACTTTTTTTGTTTGTTTTAGGCTGATCAAAATTTAATCCAGATTATAGTGCCCTCTGGCTTCCAGGGAAAAAATGGCAAACTGAAGATGACTCCACTCTCAGTGGTGGCAGAATTAAGGGCCGCGAGTGGACCAGCAATTCAGAATTCCTCTCCAGAGAAGGAGAGGATTTGGGATCACCCACAGGTGCTCCAGACACTTGCTGCGCACGAGGAGAGTGCAAAACAGCAGTCTCCAGTGGGTTTAGAGCTCTGGAGATGAGGGAACGCCATCTTTGCCCAAAACATGGTTGGTGCCTTTATAGACACAGGGTTCGCATACTTCTTTTTCTAATCACTTTTGGAAATTGCTTATTAACTACTTTTCAGCTATTAGGAACCTTTGAAACAGCAAGTTTTTTACAGCACCAGGTGAGTCTACTTCAATACTTGGTGAAAGAACTTTTAAATACAGGTTTAAGGACTTAAAAAAATCTTTTTTTTTTTTTTGAGTAATCAGCAGAAGGGTGATTAGAACATTGATTTTGGAAAGTTATAAACAGGCTAAGGGTCCAGATGGATTTGAAATAAGATTTTGAAATTAATTATAAGAATCCTTCCCATGGGAAAATGCTGCTGTTTTGAATTCTTAAAAAAAAAAAAAAAAACATGATAGGATGGGACTTTTTAGGTTGGACACTACAGGGAACCAGAAGGAATTAAAGATTACAATTAAACAAGAAGAATGCTTAAATTTGTCTTATTAATGCAGAATGGAGCAAAATACTTCAACATTAGACATACTGAGGGATATTTGTGAATAATGGACCAGAAGTTAATTTTAAGGGTGTCTGCCATTATAGGCAGACTGTTTTTAAAAGATGTCATGGAAGAGGAACACGTTTTACTAGACAAGACTAAAACTGATCTGAAAGTGGATTTAAAAATGATAGGCCACAAGAATGATATGGAAAAAGATGCCACACTGGATATATAAATGAAACTGGCTGATGTCTTAATAGTTAAAAGGGATATATAAATAACAAACCAAAAGAGTGACCTG